ACACAAATATACGACAATGTAACAAAAAAGATGCGTGCAGCAAGCGGTCAACTTTGCAACAAGGGCTCAAATGTATACACGCACAGATTCGAATGCCCTCAAGAACTTCAGGTGAATAATCACGTACAAAGTACCGGCCTCGAACTAAATTCAACCACTGACACTCAATAGGCTTATTCAGGTCTTGGTACCAACATCTTGCCACTTGCGATGTCACGTCGGAAGTGGTTTGTTTCCCGCGACTTAAAGTCTGCATCTGTCAAATATTTTTACAATCGAATAGAAACTCATGGCCATACCAACTGTGGAACATCTAGCCTGACGTTGGAGGTGGCCAAACGCTTGACGATGTGGATGAGTAATGATAACTAGGTGTCTTGATATCCGATTCCGCTCGCGACATGAATTCATGCAGTCACATTTGTGCATCATGAATCTGGATACTACCAGGTTGATGTGGACGCACAGTGTAATCATTGGTATGTCCATCGATACCATCTTTTGGGATTTAGGAAAACCCTTATACCCGGTTAATCACAACATGTTTCTCCGTAATCTGGAGGAAAATAAATTTCAGCCAGTGCCGACCTCTTAATGAGCAAGTTATTTTTCCTGATCTAGACTTCTAGGGGGATGCATTGAGAACCGGGATTTGTACAAATTTCATCATTTGAATGGTTGAAAAATGATGCTACGTATCTGCTTAGGATACAGCCATGTGGTTTCATGGCTTCCGGTTCTACCAACATCAAGACGCACAGCAATGTTGGTGATGAAAAGACTCTAAATGCTGTCAGTACCGCAACAGGCGTTCCCATTAAGAGTTTTCAAGCCTTAGAGAGATTTTTGACGACGATCAGTGTGCCCATTCTTGACTATTCCGTACCCTTATCACATCTTCATATGCATCTCACCCCTGGGCTAGGAAACTTCACACAAATTGCCCTGTGCCCAAGGGCAAGTAAGATTACCGTTGGTTTTTGTCGCATGCGGATGGACTTTTCTTTCATTTCTTGAATATGTCTGTATGTCTGCATCACTTTCTCGACTTACGACCCATCTTCGGTCGGGCCAGCAGAACAAATACCGGGAGATATTCGCTTAAACCGGAGGAAGTGTGTCTACACCGTAACCTATACCACATTTGTGAGTCTCTCCGCTAGAGAACCAAAGTCGTCGTACCAGACCGTCTTGTTACAGCGTCCGTGACCTATCAAGAACGACACAAAACAATGTTATTTGGGGTCAGTGCCAACATACCCCATGTCACCCAGCAATATACACCTTAACCACTGGACACGGTACAAGCGGCTTCACTGATGATAGTAGCCCTAACCTTTTCTTCCCGCATGATTACGCTTTTATCCGTATGTTGCAATGTGCCTAAAGCTGTTCCTCTCCTTGTGAGTAGCTGGGCATGTAGGATTTTCGATTTCAGGAGTGTGACCAATTGGACCTGTAGTTTCTTCACGTCTACTAGAGAAAGTCCTTGAGACGAACGCAACACTAATAATCATTTCTCCTGTCCTTAAGTAACCTGACATTCTAATCATCCTAGAACAGATTAGGGTATTCCACACTTGGTTATCTATCTGACAAAAATGCTAAGCCTATGGTCTACTATTTTCCACTGACCTACTAAAACACAGGATGGTGGAAAGTAATTTGTGACAGTCACCCACTAGTCTAGCTTTAAACTGCCAAACTTTAGCCGATTTTATTTTTCACACTGGCTGAGTAGTCCGAAATCTGGAGTCTTAAGGCCATGGTTGCTCCAGCATTGTAATGTCGGATATACATGGAGAACTGAGTTTTTAGGCGGATCCTCTGTTTCACCAACAGGCTGGTCACCTAAAAAGCTCTCCGAGCAGGACAGAGGTAAGTGTTTGTTGATTTCAAGACCAGAGGTGCTAGTATCACGCCGCTGAAAGAGTTCCGAACCACATCCGACTCAATTACTGTTGAAAAGACTGGGCGCCATGTTTTAAGGTAAAAATAAAGCTTAATGGAACTATTTGTCATTATTCGACCCTTCGGATGCTGTACGCAAACTTTTAAAGGCTTTCTACCATCAACTGACTTCAGCTGATCCAAACATCCGAATTTCAATGCAAGATCAATAACCGCAGAACGATTACTCCAATAATAAATGCGACTAAGACTTAAGGTAGAGGGGTATTGAAGATCGTCAGCAGATCATCCGGGGCGTGGAAAGTGGTACCGGTTGTCCAACCAAGAATTTATATGCTGCTTGAAGTTCACAGGCCACACACCGCCAGCACTGCATGAAATGGCCTCATAACCACACGAGGTGACCGGACTTCTGGCACTTTTTTTTAAGATTTACACATAAGTCCTCCGCATACCTTCGAAGTTCTGGCCGTTCGCTTGCTCGTCGAACTTGGCGATCAAAAGGAAAACCTTTCCTCAACAATCGGGTGAAATAATATGTGGGCGTACTTCCACACACTCCCTTTCCGGACAGCATGACGAGCAAGATCAATGGATAAATAATACTTATTGTTTTTCGGGAGCCAACAGGTGACGTTTTAAACTACCCATCAGCCCAGCTTACGGTGGTACACGTCAATTTTAGGTCAGAAGGTCGAACGGCAAGCCGAAGGGACTTTAAGAAGGTCACTACCTTGTGAGTTTAATTATAAATGGGATTAATGATGGGTATTGGGTCTGATGTCAAGACGCAGCAGGAAGTGAATGGGGGCCACAATCGCTTAATATAAAACACGGACGTGTAAAGTTATTGTAAGGGTGTCGAATATGATTAGCGTTCGAGTTGTATTCAAGAGGGAGATTATTGCCCACTGCTAGTGCAATCAAAGATTCTTAAACTTTGTAACATGCTGGTGATTTGTTGTATCGTGCACCGATCTGCACATGGATCTTCCACAGCAGCCAATTCTCGCAACAGGAGCTGAAAGTTTGTGAAATTACCTTCAATTCAAATGCATTCCCACCGGTCTTTGACCGTTAACTCATTTTAGGTCAGTTTTTCGGAATAAGTCAACGGACCTAAGAGAATAATTGACATGCTCAAAAGCCTACCTGATGTCCATATGACTTTATCACTGGTAGGACAACTTGCCGTAGCCTCACACTGATGGGTCATATCTAAATTTCGAGCGATGGAACCTACTCTAAGCGACTCTCTGGCTTTTTCTGACAACCTTAACTGTGTCTACTGTGTCTTTTAGACAATCCACTGTTGGTTTCGTCCCTCATGGGAGTCTTGATACAAGCACCCATAGGAACTCCATCAACTTTACTCTCTTCTCAAACACTAGATTAATCGCAAACGCAAAGTACACTCCTTTGTGATTCGGACCATTAATGTCCGCAGACTCAGCCGAATACCAGCTGAATCACTCGCTCCCTCGCTCGCAGTATCCTCTATCAGAATTTGTTGCATGTTGTTTGAGATATTGAAGTATGTTTCCAATTAACAGAACAGTTTCAAGGTTCTTAAGGCTTTTGTACACCTCCTCGTGTTCTCTCTGGTCCACATCAATGTAGAAAGCACTGGACCCAAGTTTTCAATGCTGATGAGCTCTAATAAAAACAAAACTCGATTTTCAGTGCTTCCTTGCTTCCATCCTTAAAACTCTTGTTAGATATTGCTCCTCAATCTGGACAGTAGTCAGCCCGTGAATATCGTCATCATCATCATCATCATCATCATCATCATCATCATCATCATCATCATCATCATCATCATCATCATCAT